TCTAGCTACATTCTCAAGGCTAGCCACCGGAAGCAAAGAATTAACATGTAAGGGAACTACCTGCCCCTGGGCCTTCAGTGCTGCTGTCAGCGGGGAGCAGGGAGCTAACTGCATGTAACTGGTGCGACCGTGCTGCATCTGTTCTCACCAACACACAACACTCTGACACGTGTTGGAAGCAGGCTGGTGGTGGCCTACACTAGCCCCCCTCACGGAGGAGGCGATGATCACGTCCGTGGCCACGAGAGCATCAGGCTTCCCCTACTTTGTTGTGACATCACAGTGTCTTCCCAGTACACTAAGTTTGGAGGGCATTCATTTCTTCTGCCCTCGAAACTTAGCACAGAGAAAGTCATCAAAAAGACTTTAGGTATTTATCCTGGAAATTAAATATCAACATAAATAAACAACTGACCATGATGTTAAGTATTTGTCAATCAGGCCTAAAAATGAAGCTCAAAACTACTCTATTCAATCAAGTGAAAAATGTGATGTGCCAAGGATTTCATGCTTTTCAATGTGCAACAGCTCAGTGGCCCAGTTACTCTAATTCTAACTTTCTGTTCTCAGTTTTAGTTTCCATAATTTTGCGTCTATAATTCAAAGGAATTCTACATGGCCACAGGAAAGGGAAGACTCCCTGATGTGCCATCCTGCAGTGTGTATCAGGCTACCCATTACTGTAAGCATGGTAAAATGGGGAGGATAAACCCTAGTCACCAGGGACCACATCCCAGCCACATCCCAACTGCTGCTCAAAATGCCTCTTTAAGCAAAAGGCAGAACAGTGAGATGGGTAAGAAAGGAGAAAAATTAGCTCAGTGTAACCTGCATCCCACCTCTAGAGTTTTCTTCTAAGGAATTTCTGCGTCTTCAGACAGAGTAAATTGTATCCTGAAATTGTAACATTGTCATAATGGTGCTTTTTATATTGTGGTTTTCGTTTTCAAAGCACTGTCACAAAATCACTTCTTTTGGTCTTCACAACAGCGCAGAAGACAGGAAGGACAGATGTTATCATCCCCATTTTACAGAAGAGGGAAAGCTCGAAGTCTGTGCAAGGTCACAGTGTTGTGACTCCATCAGTGTGGGGCACGTGAGTGAGGCGCTGGGTCTGGGAGCGGAGGAGCCATGAGGTTATAAATTCAAGGCAGGCAGGCAGGCAGTGGGGGAAGGAGACACAGCTCTCAACTTCTGGCAGGTATAAAACATTCTTTGTGTGGTTTCCTCTCAAGAGATTGGATGTATGAGTGCACCATGAACCTTATAATAGCAAAACCCAGTGAATTTTAAACAGTGCCGAGGGACTGCAATTCTATTATTAGAGAACCAAAGAACTTAAACGTCCTAACAGAAAACATGCGTGGCACCCGGACAGTTCACAGCAACGGTACTAGTAGGACTCCGCCACAGACAGACGATACGCTCACTGCACTCCAAGGCACAAGGCACTCTGTCCACCACAGACCACGAGTCACAGCAAACCCACAACAACGACCCCCTCCTGCACTCCACTGAGTTCTCACCTCTACCCCTTCCATGGCAGGCTGAACCAAAAAAATTACAGCATGAAAAAAGGCAACGAAAAGGTAAAAGGGAAAGAAAAGAAAAGAAAAGGAAAGAAACTGTTCTTCACATTGCAAGTCATAAACTGACTTTCAATAGGTTGTTCTCACCTCAAACTGACAGAATGGAGACAAGGAACATCTCCCGCACTCGGAAATGCTTTCCTGAGGATGGGGAGGAAAATCATCTTTTTTCTATTTATGTTATTTACATTGAAACTTCCCATATACTCATACACAGTAAAGGTTACTGGGGTAAACAAGACAGTGAAGACACAAATATCAGAAAGCACACAGTAATTAACAAATGCTCAACAGCCAAGAATACACCTCCACCCTTCAGATGTCAGACACGGCCCTTCTGATAGTATCAAATGGGGTGTGTTTCTTCCCAAAATCATATTTTAAAAACAGGAATTTTGGAATTCTGGTTGAGGGAGAGGAACTGTAAGACCTTGGATGCAAAAACATTATAAAAAGTGCTTTGTTAGAGTGAATATAATTCAAGATCTTGTGTGCAGTGCTAAGACATTAAAATAAAAATTTATCTTTCCCAGCTAAAGTCAGAAGAATACCAAGTGGTTCAGCCCCATCAATTTAGGCATGTCTGAAGCCCCCACACCCAGAAGAGCCCACAGACCATGATACCACCCACTGGATACCCGGTTATCTTGCGAAGTGAGGGGGGGGTGTTTGTGTGTGTGTGTGTGTGTGTGTGTGTGTACAGACATGGCATTAACAGGTGGGCATCAAGTCTCCCCTCTAAGTTTGATGCCCAAAAGGCAGACCTTCCTAAACATGATGATGTGCAAAGCCCTGGTCATTGGGGCTACCTGACATTACAAGACCTTTTATTTTTTAGTCAACTATTTAACATGTCTTCACTTAAGAGATTCTCAACTGGGCAATGTTAGTTGGGGATTCAACCAAATAGGTACACACTACTTTCTAAGACTCATTCCCAATCTTGTGTAACATCCATAAAAAAATGATCAAAGCTCAAGAGCAAAAATGTAGTGTGGCTCCCAGCTGCAGTGACCCCAAATGCCATGGCCCAAGTCCAGAGCTGCAGAGCAGACGTTCCCAGGCTGCTTCTGGGTACACTCACACAGCAGCTAACATGTCTCAGCAGGAGCTCTCGGGCTTCAATCCCACAGCTCCACCGGCTAGGCCACCGCCCCTATCCTGCCTCCAGAGCACCCTCCAAATACCTGGCTGGGAAATTTCTCGATCTAAGGAAGTCATTCATGTGCCCCCTAGGTTTTTTAATGTTTATTCTAGAACTGACTATGTGTTTCAGAGAATTAACAGCTTATTATAAAACAAAACTTAAAATTTAGAGCAAAAATACCTAACAGATGAGAGACAGGGGAAAAGCAGAGGCACCTGTGCCTCAGAAGCTTAGGATTCTGAATTTAAAATACTGGCTTAGTTTTCTTTGCTGGCTGTTTGGAGCAGCAGGAGTTAAGATTTACATAAACAAAACACCTTAACACAGGATAGTCAAAATAAAGCATGATAAAGCCAAAAAGAAAAACTCAAGTTGGGATGAAGGGCAGCATCTGATAAATACACACAGGAGGACAAAAAGCCACGTGACTTTTGCCTCTGAAGAGCTACAGGACTTCCCCTATCAGGACCCGGCAGTACGACTGCACCGGGTGGTAAAGGGTACTGAGGGAAAACGCGATCCCACTGATAGGATAATAAACTTTAAAAATACTTTAAGAGGATATTAACATATACAAATAAGAGCAGATTTAAAACAATAAGAACAGTTTGTCTTAAGAGACCAAGTCTTTAATAACCAACATAGATACTTCAAAAGATTTAACTGAAGTGGTTTCCCTTCAAAGCCATAAAATGTGTTTTCAAGTACTGGCTATTTGATTCTTGTCAAACCACTGGGGTGGAGGATTTAGAAACAGAAAACATATATGCCAGTATTTGTGATACTTTTTTACATGCTCCTTAATGCGTTATTCAGTCTTAAACTCTCTACTTAGCTTTTTGAGGCGACGATGACAGAAAGCAATGGAAAACGAGAGCTGAGGTGCACCACCATGCAAACAGCGGCTGCTAATAACAGCTAGAAACACACTTCACACACTTTAAGGCAAAACTAGTAAAATTGAAATACAACAATTCAAGCTTCCCAGAATTTTCATCAACAAAAACATCATATTAAATTGGACAAAAGGGAGACTTTAAAAAGCATAAAAAGGAATGTCCAACAATTAAGAGAAATAAAAGCAAAATGTAATGCAGATAAGTTATATTCAACAAGTTACATGGACTATAATCATGTAAGACTAGACTTCTGACCGGCATGTTAACTAAGAGCTCCAACACGCGCACTGGCAGCCGTGGCGCACGCAGGGCTGCCCTCCCCACAGACAAATGAGTCACTCACGTTTCCGTCGCTCCTCTGGCCCCCTTTATGGGTGAGGACCACCACTTCCATCCACTTTCGCAGATGTTGCTGTTGAAAAAGTATGCTTTAGACATATTTTTCCTCACAATAAGAGCATTTCAATTACAAAACACTGCTTTTTGGTGAAAACTCATACATAATTGTTCACTTCCATGTTTCAAGTGAGGACAGCAGTGTTTGCGTTACTGACAGGACACCCATCAGACGAGTGATGCTCAGTCACTCTCATCCAAGAATGTCAACACTCACTGCTTTTAGAGGGTTTTCAACCACTTCAAAGGCAGTTATGATGGCAGAGGAGTGGAAAAAACCCCCAACAAACCAGAAACACAAAACCTAAGTACTACATTTTAGGGAAGGACTCCCAGCCTTAGCTGGAACCTACAGGCTGTAAGCTACAGTTCATTCTCTTCACACTGCTCTAAAAAAACCTGGGTAGGATGTGCACTGAGTGAATTCCCAGCTCACAGCAAATCTGGAGTGTGGTTGTAAAACAAACGAAAAACCCGTAAATACATCACTTCGGGTAGGCAGGCAAAGGCAGCAAGAAATGACAGCTGACAGAGGGAAGAGGCAGACTAATTTTTAAAGAGTTGAGTATGAAAGACACTGAGGACACACGCACAGATCTCACTCATTATGACAGAGGCACGGAGATGCTAAGTGTATGTTTGATGTGTTCTGGTTAGGAAGTGACACAGTTTCATTTATCTTAACCATGTTTGTGAATGTTTCATATACATGTAAACTGGTAAGTATATATGGGTATTACATATACTTGGATGCTTAAAGGGAAGGAGTCTCCAATTTCAAAAATTACCTTCCCTGTAATACTTTATTTCCCAATTACCCTCTATCACTGGGGGCACTGCTTACAATTTTTAGGACCTATCATGCTACTATCAATTCTCAGGTGTTTTGGACATTGTTCATTTTGTAGGTTCTATAAATATGAAACCAGTATGTGAGGTAAAAAGGTGTGTGGTTTTCATATACATGTACACCTACACTCCATACGCACTGCATCTGTCTACTCACTCCTGCTCACAGCTGGGGGGAAGGTACGCCACAAACAAAAAAATACCTCTAGTATCTTAAGATGTCTACTGGCCAAAGGCTACTTAGGAAACATAACCATGAAAAGTAGAGGCAGTAACGCACCATGAAATCCTAAGTTAACAAGTTATTTATAAATGTGTTTACTAGAAGGAAAACCAAAGCGTAAGAAAGTTAACAGTTGAATGTCCTTCATATGCTTATACTTCAATTTAAACATCATCAAACAAATTATTTTATTTGCATTAATTATTTCCTTGGTGATTCTTAAAACCTGATGGCAAAAGACTGGACAATCTAGATGTTCTCCCAAGGGGGAGGATTAAATGAAGTGTGGCGTGTTCACATAATTAAGTATTATGTGGCCAACAGAACAAAGCAGCACTTCACTTTCTGATATGAAGTGACACCAAATAGAAAAAGCAAGATCTGTGGTATATCATGCTTCCTGTGGGAAATAAACACTGCACCCACGTCCTGTCACGCATGACCCGTAGGACACCATCCGCCTGGCAGGCTCTGGGAGGCTGGAGGATGGGCAGGAGGGGACGCTCTGCACATATGCCCTTTCACACCTTTTGGATTTTAGACCAGGTAAATATATCACATACTAAAAAAAGAATTTTAGTTTTCAAGTTTAAATGCACTTGGCTTACCATCATCTGATCGCAAAATTTATCATTGAAGGAGTTTGGGAAGAGCCTGGTGACCGAAGTCAGACGATTCACAACGTTCAGCGTCAAACTTCGATAATCCCCCAGCATCATCAACAAAGGTCGCATGTGGGTATGGATCTGATCTACTTCTATGGTAGCACCTTCTAAAAACTATTTAAAAAGGAAGGATACAAAGCAAAAGAGATAATGGAATATACTTTTAACAGAACGGAACTCATTCAGCTCTAGCAGCAAGTTTCTGTTTGTCTTGGGAGAATGGAGTATTATTCACATATATTCCAGAAGTTTATGGTGAAATGGGGAAGACCAGAATTACTGTTAAATATTTTAAAGGCTCAGTCTAACTGTGAAACAGGGAGAGGCATTATTATAAACCAGTGTGTATTAACCACAGGTAGACTTCCAGGTGTATTACAGAGTAAACAGAACTCCTAAGGCAAAATTCAACCACATGCACACACGCCCCTCTTGCTCACCTTTCTCATACAGGCCTCCCCAGCCTCCTGGAGCTCACTGTTTGTGGAATTAAGGGCTTTGAAGAGTGCAGCAATGATCTTCTCTCTGGACTGAGGAAGGTAATTACAGGCAGCAAGTGCATCTTTAAGGAGAGAAATCAATACAATTTAATTATTGACCTGAAAATTATATGAAAAATTCCCTGAAGTCTCTTAGCAACCAATAAAAAAAAACAGTCACTAAACTGCCTTCCTAACATCTGGCCTCAAGAAAGACAAGAGAATGCATGGTCTTCTCACATGTTCAGTAATCTAAAAGGGACGTCAACAGCCTGCCAGAAAGGCCCTGATAAATCTTACACTGTCCAGATAGGAGGAGGAAGGGCTTGAGGGGGGAAGAAAGCAGGGCACTGGTACCTCTGTGCCCAAGATAGCCTCACACAGGGTGAGAGCAGGGCCGACCTGAGGGCAGGAATTTGTGGAATGAATGCAGAAGGCATGGCCCTGAGCCCTGGTGATGAAGGAAATGGACAGACAGCCCAGCTTCTCCCCACTATCCATGTCTAATCAGGCAGTCTATACCCAATCTGGAGGGTTAAAGGCTTTGAATATGCAAATATTCTTAGAAAGGGAGACACACCTCAATCCTCTGTTACTTAAGAGAGAACATTCTACAAAGAGAACTGCCCAGCTTAGCTAACAGGAATGCATCAGAAGCACCCCAAAGAACAGAACCCCACAGGAGAAGTGAGAAGCTGCCACGCGCCTCCCTTATCTGGCTGGCCCTGTCTTGATCACCCCAGCCCCATTCTTGAGCTCAGGTATTACGATCTGCTTCTCAGCTCCTCATCCTCTATTCAAGGAGGGTTCTAGCAGTATTTTATTAAGTATATAAAAATCAACAAAGAAAGAGGCAAAACCAACTAAAGAAAGTGTATTCGATATTTATTTGTCAAAAAAAAGGAAATGACTTTTTTTAAGTACAAGGGTGAGTATTGAGTGTATTTTCCTAAACTTTGCACAACTCTGCATTAAGAAATGACAACAGACATTTTTCATGAAAGCCTTGAAACAGGATTCTCAAATGCATCTGAATCATTAAAAAGTCTATAAAGGTTGTAATATATCTAGTTATATACACTGATTCAGAAGAAAATGGCAATATATGGATGGTATGGCAACTCACACCAGAACATTAGAGTCGTAAGTCAACTAGAGTAAAAATAATTTAAACCCTAACAATCTATATAATCCATTTAACATCTCATTATTAGTTTGATAAATATACACACATCAATTTTTGATCCCATCTTAAAAGGAACATAAGCCAGAAAAACAAAAAGAGACAACAAAAAAGGCCACAGTTTCCTTTAACTTTCATAACCAGCAACTTGCTTCAGATTTGTATTAACTTACTTAAAGCTGCGATTCGTAAAGGTACAAGTGACGGAAGGCTTTTATAACAGGGTAGCTTTGTTAAAGCTGAATCTTCTGCCTCACACAAATTCAGTAACTGCAAAAGACAAAATGATTTAATTTAGCCTGCTCTTATTGTGAAAACAGAATGACCTTGCAAATAAAAAAACACAGCAAACTTAACACACACGCCAGAACACAATTAACTGAAACTAAGCTCATAAAAGAATTTCAGTGTCAAGTGTAACTGAGCTTTATTCTAAAGCAAACTCAACCTCATTAGTGAAATAAATTCTTAGACACCTTCTTACCCACCCTGGCACTGAAACATATTTTTCTCTGCACAGAGGACCACTTTATTTAACTGCCAATGCCAAGATGGCAGGACATCACCTCGTTCAGAGCTGCTTCCCAATGCCTCAGACCAGTGCTCAACAAATATACGAGCTGTAACTCAAATATTTGAGTGGTAATTTTTTTTTTTCAAGTACAGGAAAGCATAAAGAAGGAAAGTGGAAAGTCACTGGGAATACTGTAACTCAGAGATCCCACTGGTTATCTGTGTAGACATTTTCCCATACCATAATATATTTACATATCTACTATCTGAAATATCATATATGGTGTTCTATTACTATCTCCCCCTTTATTTACATCCTAGAAAAATGGTGTAGTCTTTGCCATTTTTTCCTGAAAGATTCCTAATTAGTAAAAGATTTAAAACAGCAGGAAAGGATATACAGTAAAATACACTTCAAACCACCACCCTACTGTGCTCGCCTAGGAAACTACCATTACTAGTTATTTGTAAGCCTTCAAAATTGCTCTCCTCATATATAAACACACATTAATGTGCACACATACAGGCACCTATATCTCTATCTCTTCTTAAAGAAAAGAGAAAGAGGGAGAGAAAAAATAAAAGAGAGGGAGAGGGAGAGAGGGGAAAAGTGTCAGTTACTTCAGTATAAAGCCATGTTCCAAACAATGCATGCACCGGGATCACCTGGGGAGCTTTTAGATGGTAGATTCCCAAGTCGGACCCCAAATCTACAAATCTACTTCTCCCAAATCTCCAGGGAGAAGACTCAAGAGTATCTATTTTTCATAAGAGCCTCATGTTTGCATAGCTGGTGCACTGATTAACACTTAGAAAATTAGTTTCATTCCCTGAGACTCATCACTCAACACTCTTAGGTTCTGATCTTTAAGCTGAGTGAAGAATTTTCCACACAGATTAAAATACAGACGCCCCTCTGGAGCCACCACAGGGAAGCCGCCCTCCTACCCTCTGATGCAACTCCTCGGCTCTGCCAAGCCATGCACACCATGGCTCTCGAAGGTGTGGCAAAGTCTGAGAGCGCACGGCTGGGCCATGTTATCATAGGACCCTCTGTGCCAAGGAACACTCAGGACTTAAAAAATTCCAGGTGGTGCACTTTTAATAATTGGAAATTCAGACTGAGCTTGGATCAGGAAGAATTCGTTTCCTTATAACTTTTGTCTTGGTTTATTCTGACAATGCCTCTAGGAGTATAACTGACGTCTTACAAAAATTTCAAATTGGGACTGATCACCAGACCATTATTGTATTCTAAGAATTAATGCTTATAGTTTGACTGTTATCTGTAATTTGTTTCTGTGTATCACTAACATCACTCCACTCTGGAATGTACAGTGACAAATATGTGTGAGATGCCACCAGCCACTGCCCACATGTTGGGTTAAGGAGCAAGTTAAGTCCATGCAACAAAATGAGAACCTGGCAGGACAGTGTGGTGAACTGGGGCCAGGCTCTAGAGGACATGGTTCTGATTGGAGCGCCTGGGCAGTGCTCTAGGTGTGTAACAAACCCCAAGCTGTTTCTCACCTTCAGAACAAGAATAATCAGTATCTGTACTTCACGGGGTGCCGTCAGAGCTAAATAAGGACATTCACGTGAATTAAGTTCTCAATAGTGCAAGGCACATTTAAGTGAGTAACAAATTCAATAAACCGGCACTTACTCTGAACCAGCCTGATTCCAGGCACCCAGCTGATGGGAGTGATTGAAAGAGATGTTTCTTTAGATTACAACTTTAAGGCTGTAAGGAGTAAGGCTCATCACAGAGGGCTAAGAGAGTTCTAAGGACTCAGAAAAGATGCCCATTTTGTTGAACACCTCCAGTCACCCTGCCCACCCTCTCCCCAGGGCCAGAACATACCTGTGCAGAGGGCTGTGCCAGGTGTGGCTGGCTACCTGCCGTTGCCACCAAGCCTTCCCTGCCTGCTGCCCGACTGGTCTCCATGCACAGAGACGGGCCACCAGACACACGCCATCACCATCCACACCACGCCGCACCGCCACCCCCCTACCTCTGTGTAGAACACCTTATGCTCCACCACGTTAAGGTCCATCGTGAAGAGCCGGGGCTGCAACGTGGTACAGAACGTGTTTCCCTCCATCAGGCCGATCTGTGCGTTGGCAGGCTGGTGTCTGAGCAAGTGCTTCTTAGGCGGGACCATGTCCTGGAGGACCTGGGGGAGGCACGGAGGAAGCACCACTAAGTGGCTGCCCCATCACAACATTCTGGAGCAACTGCCGGTCTGCAAACCCTAAGTGGGATGAAAAGATACCACAGCCGTCCTTCAATTAGGGGAGGCCAGGCATGTTTCGTGTACTGGAACTGGGTCATGGATGGGGAGTACGTGTTAGATGCACTGAATTCCTAGGTCCCAGAGTCACTTCTCCTAAAACAAAAAAAATGAGAACAAAGCTACCAGACTGGGCTGCACAGACCGAGGAACCCAGTCTTCCTTTCTCTCAACACTGACTGATCTAGCCATGCATATAAACGCACAGTTTGCGTACCAGGGGTCAAAAAGAGCATGTAGAACAGCACTTTATCAAGTGGGCATAAAATCACACATACCATCTGCAAGTCAGATTTGAAGGGAGAAGTGATAAGGGTGTTGCTCAAGCTGTGCTACTCCCTGCGACAAAGCTCTCACCTCCTTATGGGGCTCCATTATGACTGTCACACTTTTCCCAGTGACCTGGGCCAACACCTGCAGTGAATGCATGGCCTGTTTTCTCACAGTGGAGTTCGGGGAGGTGACTTCTCGAACCAAGTCGTGGGTCACGTGGTGAAAAGACTTTTCTTGGGCTGCCACAATCTCTTCGGCTCTCTCCTCATCTCTCAGGGGCGTGGCACACCGCATCAGGAGCTGCTCCAGGGTGGTCTTGGCCATGGCCACCGCCCCATTGGACACCTGTAGGTGAGGGGGCACCTCAGAACGGAGGGGCAACGTGTCTGTGCACCTATGCCTCCTGCGCATTGGCCTGCCACAAACACCGCCCCTGGGGGTCCATGCCCCTCCCATCAGCTCATTTAACAAGATTACGTCGTCACCTCCACTTGGTCCATCAGGAGCTAAATCACCTTCTATAGGAAATTCCTGCTGGTCATTCAGGAAAGAAAACATGGATCTAGATGTTATCCTTGGGTAACAGCTAAGCTGACAATGCCTCCCACGTTCTATCTGCTTGGACTACACTGCAGATAGGTTCATCCAGAGGGTGACTACTATGGAAACTTTGGCACAGCGTGAACTCTTCAGCCCTATGGCAAGAATGAGCAGACGGGCAACTTAAGTGCTCCAGCCCATGGCTGTTCTTTATCAGGGCAGACAGGTATTTAGGTACCCAGCAAAAAGCCTACGGGGTTCTCATCTGTCCTGCTATGAGATATGCTGTGATGGATTCGAAGCTTCCAGAGGAGCATATTTACAGAATTGGCTCACATTATTCCTCAGGCAAATAAGCTTCTGGCAATAGCTTGGTTAGGGCCGGGGCTACCCGTTACCTACCTCTCCAGTCAAGTCCATCATGACAAAGAGAAGTGCTTTGAGGAACGTCTGCTGGTTCTGGAGAACCCAAGTGAGAGGAAGCCGCTCCATGAGAAACTTGATGGATACCACGCCCCCCAGCTTTGCATACCAAGCCTGTTCATAACAGCATGCACACAGGCGCTCCACGATGTAAGAAAACAGAGGCAGCTGGCACGCCTGGGAAGGGAAACAAACAAAAACCACCATGTGTTACCACAATCCCTAAACCACCCACTTCAGGCACAAACAGCCCCAAAATAAAAGACACACTTCAGTCCCTCCTCACCCTCTCCTTTGAGCCCAAGATGATACTCGCAACATCAAATATCACAGCTAGGGCCACCTCCCCGATCTTGCAAAGCTCCTTTTCTTCATATGCCATGCAAATAGCTATTGCGTCAATAAGAACCAAGGGATCCATTCCTTTCGACCCATTTTCTTCACTGTGAAACATGGCTGTGCTGGGCTGGCTGCCCACCTGGTAGCAAGGCAGCAAGAAAGGACCTGAAAGGAGAGGCAGAGGGCATGCAGGAGTTTATTTCCTAAACAGTCTTGTCAACCTCATTTTTGCCTTGGAGGTTAGGAGCTCAATAAAAGGCAGCATGGGTACTTTAAACCAACATCTGTTAAACTTTAATTATTTGTTAACTAAATGGTCTGATTTGCACTACGGTTATTTTTCTGAATGTTTTCCATCTTCCACTATATTATTTTCAGATTTTGTCAGTCATAATTCAAAGCTGCCTTACTTTAAAATGATAACTGTACTCAGGTAATCTTCTTTTAAAAAGTCATTAAGTAGGCCACAGGGCACAGAACAGGAATGACTATGGGTCACATACTGGACATTCCTGAGAAGCAACAGCATCCAGCTGTGGGGCACAAGGCACACGGGCAGAGGACCATCTGCCTGTGCTACTCATACCTTGTGGGCGCCCAGCACCACCGCGCGACACGGGCGTTAACGGGCAGTGGGTAGGTCTGCTGTGCTGACAGTGTTAACACAGAAGAAACACTGAGAAACAACCTAAGTGTTAAAGTGTATAAACCTGATGGCTCTTCAGGGCCAAGAGGAGTTCAAAAGGGGAAGGTGCTACATGTTCTGCAATGTCCAGAGAAAGCTGCTCGTTGGTCTCGAGGGTGAAAGGCTTTGAGGACACAAACTGAAGTGGGTTGCTGGCCCATGCTGCTCCAGGAGGTGCAGAAATTGAGAAAATGTTCAGAAACTTATAAAGCAATCGGCAGTCCCACATTTTTATTATTTTACAAATACATCTGTCTACAGTGAATTAGAAATAAAAACAAAGGGACAGAATGGTTCTTTATCACCGAGAGCCTGAGAACCCCTGAAGCAGAGGTGAACAGTCCCTTAAGGCAGGGGGACGGTAGGGATGGCAGATGGTGGTAGAGATCAGCACGGACAGGGGACTCAGATGAGCCACTGAAGAGTGGAGGGGAGATTGGGCCTTGGGAATGACCACCAGGGCCAGTCAGTGTGTGTGACCACCTGTGTCTGTCTTCCAGGAAGTGCCCAAAAATATTCAGCGCCCATTTTACATTAAAAACAAAGGCCCAAAATATTTAATTGGGTTTATTTTATACATAAAACTTACCAACAGTTAAGCTAATATAGTACCCATTGCTGAAATACCAGTTATCTTTTTCAATGTACTAAGTGGAAAATTAGAATACAAAGGCCAAAAACCAATCAGCCAAGCCCAGCTTCTCTGAAGCACTGGTGTTCTAAGTTTTGAAGTCCCTGAAGAAGGCAAATGCCACTTCCGCTGCCTGCTCACCGCACTGCTGGGCGACTGCTACCATCGTGTAGTGGCGGATCAAGCTGGCCACGAATGGCAGAGCGCTGGGCCGGAGGTCTTTAATGACGGCAGACATGAAGGCGCCAGTCAGAGCCTGCTCAAACGTCTTCCGCGCAGGAGTGTCCTGTGCTTTGTAGCGATGTGATATGATGACATTAGGTATGGTCTTTTCCGTAAAGCTGAAAGACAAATTAAATCCTTCAGCCCAATGTTGAAGCCCTGAGCTGATGATCCCCCATGGCTCATTATTTCATTTTCATCCTGCCCACTTTCCCTCTTGCTAAGATACGCCTGTTTGAGTTACCTCTTTCTTTAATTTCAGCAACACCTAAAATCAAACATGATGAACTTCACTATAAACATCTGTAACGAATGGTTCGAGACACCAAGTATGTCCTACCTAACACGGGTACAGACAGTCAAATCCGAGTAAGTTACAGAATAGAGGCACATTCAGTATTTCCACAATTTTTTTAATTGTAAGGAAGCTGACATGTGATTTTGACATTTTATTTTGGTCTTTTCTAATTAAGCCAAATAACTCCATCAGTGATCAAACATGGATAAAAAAAGCTATTATTTAAAGGCAGCTATACACCTATTACACATTGAAAAATCATTCCATGGGTATGGAATTAAATGGGGCTATGGATCTCATTGATAAAGCATTTATTACCAATGATATGAAACTAACTACAACCCAGGAAGTCAGACAGGGAAGTACATACCAAACATAAAGATAATAGTCAGCAATATTTTTTATTTTTATTATTTATTTATTTGTTTATTTTGGTATCATTAATATACAATTGCATGAGGAATATTATGTTTACTAGACTTCCCCCATCATCAAGTCCTCCCACAAACCCCATTACAGTCACTGTCCATCAGCATAGTAAGATGCTGTAGAATCACTACCTGTCCGTGCTGTACAGCCTTCCCTGTGCCCCTCTCCCCACACTATATATGCTAATCATAATGTCCCCTTTCTTCCCCCCCCCCACCAGCTTACCCCTCCCTTCCCACCCATCCTCCCCAGTCTCTTTCCCTTTGGTAACTGTTAGTCCATTCTTGGGTTCTGTGAGTCTGCTGCTGTTTTGTTCCTTCAGTTTTTGTTTTACTCTTACACTTCACATATGAGTGAAATCATATGGTACTTGTCTTTCTCCACCTGGCTTATTTCACTGAGCATAATACCCTTTAGCTTTGTCCATGTTGTTGCAAATGGTAGGATTTGTTTTCTTGTGGCTGAATAATATTCCATTGTGTATATGTACCACCTCTTCTTTATCCATTCATATACTGATGGACATTTGGGTTGCTGGCTTTTCTTGGCTATTGTAAATAGTGCTGCGATAAACACAGGGGTGCATATGTCTTTTTCAAACTAGGCTGCTACATTATTCGGGTAAATTCCTAGGAGTGGAATTCCTGGGTCAAATGGTATTACTATTATGAGTATTTTGAGGAATCTCCATACTGCTTTCCACAATGGATGAATTAATTTACATTCCCACCAGCAGTGTAGGAGGGTTCCCCTTTCACCACATCCTCACCAACATTTGTTATTGTCTGTCTTTTGGATGATGGCGATCCTTACTGGTGTGAGGTGATATCTCATTGTGGTTTTAATTTGCATTTCTCTGATGATTAGTGATGTGGAGCATCTTTTCATGTGTCTGTTGGCCATCTGAATTTCTTCTTTGGAGAACTGTCTGTTCAGTTCCTCTGACCATTTTTGATTAGATTATTTGCTTTTTGTTTGTTGAGGTGCATGAGCTCTTTATATA